ACTTCTTCATTAGTAAAGATCAATACGTGATGAATTTCATTGCATTGGCCCATGCTGCTCGTTTCAATATGTTGCTTCCCTTTCGTGCCCCATGTGGTAATGTTTGGTTTGCTTTTGGACCGCTTCTTGCAGAGAAAAGCGAAAGAGAGCGACTTTCATATTCCACTTCTTGTCAACAGCAAAATATATCTGATTTTGTCATTCCATTTGATACTATTTGCAAGGATAGCAACAATATCGTATGATCTTATTGGTATACAGTATATTCCTGACGGTGGGGTGGGTAAGTTTGGATGTGTGTGTGGTTTTGGCTATGTGGTTTAGGTGAGGATGAAGATGAACGTTTACACCTACACACACCCTCAAGTCATAATTTAAATATTAAATAAATATATATTAATTAGGACGACCATAATTTACTTTAAAACGTTCTTCGTGAACTAAATCAATAGCAAAAAAATATTTTAATGCATCTATTATGACAACTGATATTGTCGTATAATTCATTACAGGAATTGCAACAAAAGTAAATCATTTTAAGGGTAGGTGTGGGTATGTGGTTGATACTTTAGAGCCATCTACATCCTCACCCATGTATCTCTTAATTAAACAATCTTATCAGAGATAGAAAATAAAATCTTTACATCTGTTAGACAAACAACTTATTAATTGAAATTGATAAGTTATATGAATTATAGTTAGAGTAAACTAATGAGACATAAAATAGAATACTAAATTAAATATCCCTTAAACCTTTTGATTTAATAGTCTTGTTAAGAAATGAATCTAGAAATAACAGATGAAAACTGAATTGTTGAGCAAGAGAAAAAAAAGAAACATGAATTATAAAAGCTTTAATACATTTTCACGACCATTAGAGATGAGAAATGAACGTTTGAGTTATAGAATAGAAGAAATCTTTTTCAATTGATCTATTTAATTACGAACTATAATAGGTAGAATTCAATGCATTTGTACAAACATTAGAGATAAGGAATAAACGTTTAAGATACAGAACAGAAAAAAAACTTTTTTCAGTCTATTTATTTAATTACGAAGTATACATAGATTGAAAAGAATTTTTACGATTATTTGACATGAGAAATAAACCTTTGAGCAAGAGAACAAAAAAAATCTTTTTTAATCAACTTATTTAAGGATAGGTGTTGGTGTGGGTGTGGATGTTTTTTCTCATCCAAAGCCACACCCATACCCACACCCGCCTAAAGAATGATATCCTGATTGCACAACAAATTTCTACCATACCTTCAGTTTTTTTTGATGAAATAATTGTTTTATTTTATAATGATAAAATGTGAACACGATGAAATATCATTTGTTTATAACTCAAAGTTTTTTTTTAAAACGTCAAGCGTCAACGGGCGTAAAATAGAATACAGTTGAAAAACAATTCTATGGTCATAATCAAGAAATTAACATTTTCTCTTTTTTAATTGATGATAACTTATTCAGTTTGATACTGATCGCCAATATGTTAAGTGTTATATGACATTCGCTCTCTACTTCTTACAATGAGATTTTTTTTACACTACCAATCTGCTCGTAAAATAAATATTCTCTTCAAATATTTATAGATGTATAATAGTCTAGGTCTCATATGAGCATACGATTTTCTACTAGAGGTAATGCAAAGAGAACTCTACTAGAAAGAGTGTAAAGTTATGACTAAATTAATATATCTAAAAAACAAGCAAAAAATTATAGTAGGTGTTAGTATTATGTCAATCCTAAGTTAAGTCTAATGCGAAAGTGTTAGTTGTTATTCTAATACTTATACAAGAGTATTGAGTATTAGACTAATTTTAATGCAAAAGTATTAGAATTAAGTCTTAAGTAATGCAATGCTAATGCTAAGCCACCACCCCTATATATAATATAAAACACTTTTATTGAAACAAGACAAATTAACAATCTATATATCAATTACTGACTTAAATAATATTTCGAAAATAATAAGAGCCTAAAATACATTTGCGATTTATATTTCTAAATAATGGAATATAAAACAACAGAATATTTTGCTTTATTATACGTATATTTTTTGTTTATTGATAAAAAATGATCATACATATATATATATATATTAAAGATGGTTCTTTTTTTTATAGATTTATATAAGTATTATTATAATTATTTCATAATGATACGTGATACATTGAATACATCTGAACAAATATTAACATATTCAAAGAAACAGATTAAGTATATTATTGGATTAATAATAGTTAGTTTGTGTATTTTCTATTCTTCGCATTATTATTCTGTAAATATTCAATTCTCTGTTAAAAATATTATTTCATTTATGTCAAATAAATCGTTAGAATCGACAATATCTTCTTCATTATCATCGAGAGAATTACTTTTATTATATGAACAAGAATTGGCTCATATTGAAACAACTTCATTTCAACCAACATTTCACAATCATTATTTAAAATTAAAATTAAATTTAACATCAATAGCAAAAGAACATTCCGATTATTTTAAAAATTATTCAATAAAGAAAAATTCTCTTCTTAAAATAACTTGTTTACAAAGTCCTACGAAGACAAATGATTTTCATTCAATTTGTGATATTTATTTAACTTTTCAAGTGAAAATATTAAATTTAAAAAAAGTACAATTAACTTTGTTGTCAAAAAATACAACTTGTTCCATATTGTTAACAAATACATCTGACATAATTCTTCTCAATGTTCAACAAGTGTTTTCAGTCAATGACATATTTCGTTTTACTTATCAATGGTCTGATTTTAATAATAAAACAGAAATATTTTGGCGTTTATGGCCTTTAAATACCACATGTTTAACATCTCTCCAATGCTCTTTTACTAATATTTTAACACATTCAACATCAAAAGAATTATTTCTTAAAGAACAAAATGCTATTTCAACTTGGCTTGATTTACAATATCAAACATTTATTAATCAAAAATTATCAAAACAAGTCAATAATAGTAGAAATTTAGTTCCATTTGAAATAGCAAAAAATCCAAGTGTTTGTTCAAGACAATTTCAAAATTGGATTTTAGATTATGAAAAATGGCATGAAAATATAAGTTATAATATTAATAATGGATTAATGACAATAGAAGAACAACGTAATCGTATAATTGAACTTGATGTTCGTTTTTTAATATATGAAAAACTTGGTACAGGCATTGCTGATCGAATAATTCATTTGATGTCAACATATTTAGTAGCATTATTAACAAAAAGATTATTTATATTTGATAAACATTGGCCTGAATTTACTTCGATTATGCAATCAAGTTTAAATTATGAACAAAAATTAATCATACCATGGGTTGAACAT